CCCCCCCAATAGCTAGCAATCCAAAACAGTCCAGTGAAGCCTGAGCGGTGGGTGTTGCCTTCTGACACACTTCCGGTGATGTCAGGGGGTGTGGCATATGCAAATAAGTTATGCCAATGAGCTCCTGCACCTCTTTTTCTACGAAATGACCCCTGGTGTTGAGTAAGAATCCACGTACTAAATTACAGCATGTGCCATACTGAGCCTGGTACTTAAATGCTTATTAAGAAGCCTTATATTTGCACTGAATTTACTCTGCTTCTTTCTTTCAGGTATCAAAAGATGATCGCAGTGATGTGGAGAGTAGCTCTGATGAGGAAGATGCAACTTCAAACAGTAGAAAAGGAATCCATAGCACTTCAAGCAATGGCGCCAATCGGATTAATGGTCACATAAGTAGTGGCCAATAGGCAGACAAGGAATAAAGCTGGGGGCAGGGGAAGCCTCCAGAAAATAGAGACTTGTGTTCAAATTTCTAGATATGCTGAACTCCACATTCTAAAGAAGTCTTTAATCAAGCTTGCCCCTTCGTCTCCAACTCCTCCAGCAAACCTAAAACTGGCACAAACACAGCCAATGTTGCACGGAAGGGATCAAGCTGATTTTTAGTGCAAAACTTACTTCCAGTTTCCCTTTTTAAAGACAAGTCATTTTGTATTTAATAGTGTCCCACTTAAATATTATTTGTTGAAGTGTGTGTTTGTGTGTGTGTGAGAGAGAGAGAAGGAGAGGGGCTGTGGGTTTGTGTTTTTGATCAACTCAAGTTTTGAGGGGAAAATGTTTGGAGTGGGCCTACGGAGGCCTGGATCTCCAGCAGTTTCAGTCTGCTGCTTCTTTAATGCACTCCATAATCTTTTGACAGTGTGATCTATCTTATTTTACAGCAACAGAGGTAAAAGTTGTGTCCTGTCAAGTCTAGGCTGTTAATGCCGCTAGGCACAGCAACCAGGTGGCTGTGATAGAGCCAGATGAACTCAAGGAGTCACTAATAATCATTGGGCTGTGATGTGCTAAGAAAGTTATGTCTGCCTGTTTTGGGGTGGGAGCTGGACCAAGCTTGCAGTAGTTACTTTAAAAAAGTAAGCATCTACAAAGTCTTTACTGTAGTTGAAATCTCCAGCATACAAATCCTGGGGATGTGAAAGGCACATAGGAGCTACAGCAGCAGTGTATAGATCTCTTTGCTTGGGTAGCAGGCATGGATGATCTGGAATCCATTGTTGACTTTTCCATAGAGGCAATTTGTAAAGTCACATACATTTTCAAGAGACAAGTTTGTGTCCTGCACCTGCTTCAGTGAGATGCCACTGGGATGGAGAGGTCGCTACACAAGGGCTCTGTGTCCTCCCCCCACTCCCTTTTTACTGTAAGGTACTTCAGGGGAGAGGGAAGACAGAAGTAGTAGCCAGGACTTTGAAAATTTCTTGAGTTATTATTTTATACTATTGTTTACTCTGTGATTAAAAAACCTACTTAAACAACATGTTCTGGAAATATTGCTTTACAAACTCATCTGCGTTCTACACTCCGCTGTATTTGTTAACCTGGTTAGCATTGCCATTGCAATGATATACGATGGGCTTACAATATGGACTCTGCAAAGTGAGTAGTATGTTGTTGGTGGATCAGAAGGCGCTACTGCTGAGACAGTCCCAGCTAAAGTCTTATCCCACCATGGACAGTGTGCATGTACACACACACACACACACACGATGCTGGTTTTCACAAATAGCTCCAGTACGTGAACCTCACCCTCCTGCTGTATTCTCCCTCAGATCATGTAAGAGTTGCCATCACATGTTGTTCATAGTCTTATCCTATGCTTAGTTCAAGAGTTAGCAGCCAGCTTGTGTTTATTTAGATCTTTTATGAACTCGGTGAAGGTGGGGTTCTTATTTTTCACATCATATGAAGTACTAAACCCCAAAAATTTGAGCCAAAAGATGCCAACTGCTCTTTTATGGTACTATTACAGTGCCACCAAATCATTCTGGGTCTGAGTCCAATTTAGGGTAAACAGCTACACATCTCTGAACTTATTCAGAAGGTGATCACAGCACTCCTCTTTTCTGAACCTCATGTAAATGTCTTGCTTAGGGGGAAACTAGATGTGATAGGTCAATCTGTGACCACAGGTGCAATTTTTGAGAACTTAGCCATTTAAAATTGCTGCTGTCAGTAGCAAGAGATGATCTCGTTTCCCCTTCTGTATCTTTAGAGGTGCTCAAACAGACATGGAGAGGAAAAGAAGATACCCTTTTGCTGCTGCACTGAGGGCTCAATCAGGAGGCCCTCAGGGCAGTGTTTAAATGGCTACATTCTCCTCTAAAATGGTATTGGTGACCAGAGGTTGGACCTGTGGCCAACGTCACATCTGGTTTGGCCCTTAGTCTGCTTCCCTGTCTATGGTGTTTTGATACAGAAACAGCCTAGGCTGGAAATAACATCTAGATAGTGGCTTGGATCCATCAATACACAAACAGGAACAAACTTAAAGCAGTTTCGTGTATGCAAGATTGTGTATTTTTCTCTCCATATATTATGGTGCCCAGACATTGTGCATTATATTGCACAAGCAGAAGCACAATTCAGGATACAGTAAGTCTGACTTAGCACAAGTGGCTACTGGGGTCTTTTTCTTGTATTTCCCCTTGTGCAAGAACTATATACCACAAGCAAAAAAATTGTGCTGGATCCAATCCATCTGTATTTTTAAAGGTCATCTGTTTTATGTGGGAAATATCCCAAGTTTCCTCTTGCTTCTTGTTTGACCTCCATTTAATAAAGCTTACTTTCCTGAATCTTGAAGAAATGTACGTATATCTTCATTGACAGTAGTTTTACAGTGGTTAAGTTGTAATAAGAGCACCTTTTTAAAGTTTAGAGGTAAGCTGATGGCTCTCTGAAGGATAGTAATACTTGTAAAGGGATGTTCACAAGGCTTAGAGGCAAATGGAGCAAAATAGTACAAGTGTGGTTGCCATGCATCTCATTCTTTCCTCTTGTCTACTACAACATGTTTGGGCATCTCATCACCTCTCCAATGGTAGGAATACTTTGTCATGACACAAGTCAAATTCTAGATGCTGCAGGAAAAAGTAGATATACATTGGCTATGCATTTACCATAACTCCTCACTCAGCAGGAGCTGCCTTCTTCCTATTAAGATCATAAACAAAAGCAGTAACATCCAGTCAAACCTATTATAGATGGGATTAGACTCAATATCTAACCTTCCAGCATTGCGTACTCTTGTTCCTTCGATTCTGTAATGAAAGATTTACCAGATGCTGCTTGCTATATAACAGTGTGTCATGATCTGTACAGGACTAGGAGCAAGGCCTAGTGCAGCCTGGTCCCAGGAGAGACCAGTGTGGGAGTGGAAAGTAGACAGCCTACAATCCCCATAATGCTTAGAGAGGGTTATAGCCAATCAGTTTCCAGAGATTGTGAGTAGATTCTGACTTACGCTCTTAACTGTGAAAAACGGTGTTCTTTGCTCTTCTGCAGTCTTGTCTCACAGAGGGGACAGTCTGGTCTGATGAGAAAGATCCCGGCAGGAGTCCTGGTATAAGAGGGCTGTGGGCCTCGAAATAGTAACCAGTTAAGTGAACTAGGAAGTCATGTTAGATTCATTTGTTTTTCCTATAAACACTGTTTCTTATTTTAAAGCACCTTGTCTTGTTTCCTTGCCCCAGTACTGTGTTAATAAACCATTTTGTTTAATTGTTCGCCGCCTCGTCATCACGCCTATGTTCTCAGCTTAAAAAGGGGCAAGTTGGATGGGCTTGGGAGGGTACTCTGGGCCTTCTCAAGGGACCCGAAGTCCAGATTGGTGGTAGTGGAAGGTGGCGACCCCTTCCACCATGACACGGTGCTATAAAGCAACATTCCTATATACAACTACTAAAAAGTACAAAATCTTTGTTAAAAGTTGGCCATTATGTCACATTTCTAGCCAATTCCTTCACCAGCTGCAGCTTGAGGAGAGTGACAGCAAAAGATGAACAATTCTAAGCTGTTTAATCTGAAATTATTTAATAGGAGCATATTCTCAAAAGTATTTACTTCTGCCATTTTTTTTTTCATGTAGCTTGAAAAAGTTACTAGAAGGATGCTGTAGAAGCCGCACAGATTATCACCCGGACATGTACATTTTTCTTCAAAACAAATGTTTCAAACACTTTTACTATTTTAAAAGGGGTAGAGGGGTAGGAATTAAGTGTACTACAGCTAGAGTTGCCACCTATTCCGACTGATCTCCAGAGGATTGAGATCAGTTCTAGAGAAAATGGCTCCTTTGGAGGGTGGACTCTATGGCATACCCTGCTGAAGTCCTGCCCCTCACCAGGCTCCACCTCCAAAATCTCCAGGTTTCTGCCAACCCAGAGCTGGCAACCCTAACTACAGCAGAGGAGATATACTTCCCTCAAAAGCTACTGCTGACCACTGCCAGAGGCACCCAGGAATAATTACTATTCCTATCGTAGTCTTCCATCTTTCAAGTTAACGGGCATGAAAGTACAGGTGAAACCATTCTGTGAACACATCTTTAATAATAAGCATCTATTTACAGAAATAAGGAGAGAAGCTGTGCACAGAATGTTTGCATGATCACGCAATGTTTTACCCTCTTTAATATCACAGCCTGGGATGCCTGTTCTTAGTGGCAGAGGTTCCTACAGTTTTGCTTCCTGATAGGAGTGTTTCCAACATAGCAATCTGATAGGAATCCAACAGTCATGTACAGCCACTCTTCAGTCCTTGATGGCATCTGCATGTACTTGCTCCTTCTCAGGTTGCTCCAGGAGACTCTTGCGCTGAAAATAATAGTATGTTCTGAGGCTACAGAGGTAGCCTCCATAAAGCGTAAGGAGCATCATTGAGCAGGAAACAGATTTATAGCCAAAGTCTGCCAGCTGCTTTGCAGAAACCATTGCTGCTGTGGAGAAAGGAAAGAGGGAGTCATTAAGCTTGTGGGTGATAGCAAGCAACACAAACTTTATTTACACAAAGCCTAGAGAGCTTTGTTGCAGAAAGGTCATAGCATAAGGATTACTTAATGGAACCAAAGAGAAAGTAGACTAGCAGGGCTGATCCACAAAAACAGTGAAGTACATCAGGCAGTTCCTCTTTATGCATCCACAAGCATTACAGTAAACTGCAGCCCAAAATGTTGGGCTGCATCTCAAGAGTATTTTAAATGGGTGGTGGGGGTGAGAAAAATCAAACTTGGTGGGTGGAAATAATTCCATCTGTGGAAGTGCTCTGTTGCCTCCAAGCCTGTAATTTGACATAAGAACCAAGAATAACCCTGATTTAAAAACAGAGAAGCTTTATTTCTTGATATAAGTTATTGTGTAATTCTGTTTCCTTGGCTTCTCTGTTTGTTTGAGCTTGGTTAAGTATAGCAACTGTCACATCAGAATGCTCTCCCGCTAATTTTGGAATACTTCCATTTTTGCATTTATAATTCATTATTTTATGTGGAAACATCCTTGACAAGTAACAGCAGTGCAAATGTTTGCAATAATAACACAATAAAAAAGCAAACACTGACTGGTCCTATGTTTACCACTAATCCAATGAAACTGATGGCAGTTCTGCACTCAAGCTAAGCAGTATTTGGATGGGAGACCACCAAGGAATACCAGGGTTGCTACGGAGAGGCAGGCAATGGCAAACCACCTGTTAGTTTCTTACTTTAATAGCCTTAAAAGGTTGCTGTAAGTCCGCTGCAACTTTACAGCACTATACACACCCTGCACACAAATGTTTCCTACACTGAATATAAAGTACAGGCATCCTCCATATAGCATACATGTCTCAACATCCATCAGTGATGTGAGCTTTCTGGAAAAAAAAAATTCTACTGCTCTGTGACCTGATTTTAGCATGTTTATGTTGACGTTTTAGTAACACATGTAGAAGTACCCCATATTAACCTTACCCCTGATTGGCTTTCTGGTATGCTTAAAAGCTTTTAAAATGTCCTCCAAATGCACGTCACTCTTTGGCAGGTGTAGTAGCACGAAGACAGAACAGCTAGCATAGGCAACCTGTTTCGGCCCAATGCCCCCCCTACAATATCTATCCACTTCCTGGCAAACAAAAGAGGGAGTAGGGAAGGAAGAAAGGGGTTGTACTTGGCCGGAAGCGCTTGTAGCAGGCCACGCCTATTAGTGCTGCCGGCATTTCAAGGATTCTGCTAGGACTCGGCAAATGACTATACAGGTCTGGGAAGCAATGTTGGGCAGAAAACACGACGGCTGCCGTCCGTGGCACGGCTAACCTCAGCAGTGCTGCCCGTGCCTCGGTTGCCTACGCAGAGATCTGCCCCGCCCCCCGATGTGCCGCTGCTAGCATGGGGGCCGGGGGGCCCAACCCTGTTCCACAAAGGCTTGACAAATAAGATTCCATTGACTTTTCTAGTTGCTGGCTTGTTCGTATTTAAATTTTTCTTAAGCATATTGCATCTCGCGGTTCGAGGAACGTGATTTTCTGTCTAAGTCCCTCATCCTAAGACAGTCCCGGCTCTCACCTGACAATTATCGCCGGAGACGTTGCCCGCACCAGTGAGACTCTTCGCCGCTTGTTCTCTGGGCAGGTCGCGAGCGGCTTGCACAACTGACAAACGTACTTCCGGGTCTTGCTTCCTTGCAGAGCGCTTTCTGGGTAGCCCGTCCCCCAGCCGTGTCCTTCTATAAGCCGAACGCCTAGCGCCTTCACTTCGCGTGACCCTGAACTCTTGCCTGGCAATTGCTATGGAAATTCTGCTTCCGGCCATAGAGACGTAAGGCAGAGTTTTCTGTTTTTCTCCCGCCGTTTGCCGTTAAGACCTCCCGGATCCGCAGTGCATCTTGGGACGTGTAGTTTTTAAGGAGACCCTATATCCCCTGAGATTCTTTTAGGGAGATAGGATAATGGTTTGGGAAGAAAAGTCACTGGGATGGGACGGCGGGAGTTATACCCAGAGGACGCAAGCCGGAGGGGTATGTTACGTCACAAGGAGAAGGGTCAGTCCCAGCTCACACCGCCTTGACAGCACTGTGGACTTAGAAGAGAGAACTTTGCTCGACTACTTCAGTTATATTTAACACCGTATACAGTGTGTGTGTCATGGTATGGCTGAAGTACTTTGAGTCGCATTTATATTGTAATGCATGGAAAGCTGCAATGTCGCATGATTTGTGAGGAAAGGACTCTTAGGTCAAATCTCGTGGTTTTCAGACTCAGTCCCCTGTGGGGGCCATAATACTGTTTCATCTTACCTCACAGCATTATCTTACCTCACTTTAAAAAAGAAGAAGTATTCAAAAATAAACGGTTGCTGACAAAAATTGGATACATCAGAGCACTTAAATACCTGGTTTTCAGACTCAGTCCCCCTGTGGGGGCCATAATATTGTTTCATCTTACCTCACGGCATTATCTTACCTCACTTTAAAAAAAAAGAAGAAGAAGAAGTATTCAAAAATAAACGATTGCTGACAAAATTGGATACATCAGAGCACTTAAATACTGTCCTCCTTGGGGAATTCTTAGCTATCAGAAACAGTATTACAGACTTGTAAAAAGTACAGAGCCAAAACCAAGAATCTGTCCACTTTGTTTGTCTTGAGATATGACCAAATCCACTTTTCTTACTACAGAAATTCTATTCAGAGGGCTACGACAAGGAAACCAAAGTGTCTGTCCAAAAGGGTAGCCATGTCAGTCTGCTGCAGAGAGAACTGAGTCTCATGGTACAAATCTCACAACTGTATCATGGCATAAAAACCTCCGTGAGCCAGAGTCCATGTCATCAGATGCCTAAAAGCGCCTGTCCTTGTGGAAATCACTGATGTCATTCCCCTTTTCTTTCAATCAGAGGAGAGGAGGGGGGCCAGGGTAAGACAGAATCCACCTCCTCCCCTGAGGACTGAGGCGTTGTCTGCGGCCAGCTGAGAAAGGGTGCTGGAAGGTGCAGCTGACCTTGGGAGTTGGAGCCTGACAATACCTAAACAGTAAAGAACAGGAAAACTAACTTGTTACTAACTCCAAGGAACCTGAAGGAAGAAAACCAGATTTCAACTACAAAGTATTTGAAAAGGAGAGATCACACAGATTTTTAAAAATCTTATAACATATACAGCTATATTGGAATTTGCCTTATGACATTTTCTTCTAGATTGTGTGACATGCCTGTGTGTATTCCTGAAATCGACATTGTCTAGAAGAGGGATTTTTGGCAGGTGCTGTTTATCATGTTATAATGTACAATGAAAGATATTGCAGTTTCCTGAATGTACAAGGTAACAGAGTCTCTCCTTCTGTTTCATCAACTCACTCTACCATTCCGGTTCAGTGGTGAGCTTCTCTTAACTTTGCTGAGGGAAAGCTGGGTTCAAAGTTCTTTGTGCATTGCATTCTGGAGTCTCTGTCTCTCTCACACACAATTTCACTTCCATGTTACCTTCTTGCACAACCATTCTAGGGAAGCAAACCCAGCAGCATTCCTTTACTGCATTCGCATAAGGACTGAAGTGTTGGGGAGTGTTCAGGAACTATGTTGTGTCTCAAACAGAGAGCAGATTAGAGCAATAGTTATACTGTGCTAGTATGAACTGCTAACTCTGCCTGCTATTTATAGTTACTTTTAAAAGCTGCTGACCCTGCGAGCCCAGCTCAGGGCTACTTGATATGCCTGAAGACCAGGGAAACGGCAGCTCTGACAGCTGACTCAAGCACAGTCTGTGGTTGGGCTGGGACATATAAGAGGGGATGGCTGTTGGGAAAGATCCTAGGATAGAGAGAAGATTCCCACAGGCCTTGCTTCAGCCAGTCAAGTCCGGTGTTGTCACACAGCCCAGTCTTTTGTATGTTTACTTAAAAATAAATCCTACTTCCTCCTATGAGAAGAGGCTGAAGTTGGTTCCTTATTCCCAGTTCCTTATTCATTCCTTATTAATATCTTATTCATGAATTCATCCAAAAACACTGAGGATAGTTTGAAAGCTTTAACCCCCAAAATAAGGTCTGGACCACCACATATATACTCCCAGGTTTATGGGACTTTCCCCCTCAAGAGGATATATCCTGTTTCCTGGTCCAAAGCATGGTTCTTGTGCCAGCTGCTCCAAAGTAGGGTGCCCCTAGAACAATCACATGGCCAGGCTGGAACCCACCCCCAAAGTCTTTGGACCAACCCAAATGACACATCACCACACTCTGGAGACTGTCCCCTGCAGGATGGCATACAGTGGTGCCCAGTCCAAACACTGGTTCTGGTACCATGAGCTTCTATTTGGCGCAGCTGGCACAAGAACTGCATTTCGGACCAGGACACAGCATATGTCCCCTTGAAGTAGAGAGTCTGCTGAACATGGAGGTATATGCAGTGTGGTGTTCCAGACCTTATTTTGGGTGCAGAGGGCACTTCCTTACTGACATCTCCTTTGAAATACAGGCCTCTGGGAGGCACTCTGAATAGAAGCTTCTGGCGCCAGGACCAGTGTTTGGACCGGGCATCACTGTATGTCATCTTGCAGAGGACAGTCTCCAGAGTGTGGGGATGTTTCAGTTGGGGTGGTCCAAAGAGTGTTTTGGGGTGCAGCCAGGCCCCACTGTCTGCCTGTGTGACTTCCCTGGGGGCATCTCACTTTGGAGCAGCTGGCACAAGAACCGTGCTTTGGACCAGGACACAGCATATGTCCCCTCAAAGGGGAGTCCACTGAACATGGGGGTGTATGAGCTGTGTGGGTCCAAATCATTTTGGGTTGTAAAAGGCAACCAGTTCCTTATTTGAATCTCCTTCGAAATAGAGGCCTCCTTAGAAATAGAAGCTTGTGGTGCCAGAACCAGTGTTTGGACCGGGCATCACTGTATGTCATCTTGCAGGGGACAGTCCCCAGAGTGTGGTAATGTGTCATTTGGGATGGTCCAAGGATTTGGGGGGGGGGTTTAGTGTCTGCCCGTATGATTGTCCTAGAGGCACTGCACTTTGGAGCAGGTGGCACAAGACCTGTGCTTTGGACCAGGACACAGCATATGTTCCCTCGAAGGGGAGAGTCCACTGAACATGGGGGTGTATGAGCTGTGTGGGTCCAAACCTTATTTTGGGTACAGGGGGCACTTCCATTTTCAAATTTTCGTAGAAATAGAGGCCTCTTGGAGGCACTCCAAATAGAAGCTTGTGGTGCCAGAACCAGTGTTTGGACTGGGCATCACTGTCTGTCATCTTGCAGGGGACAGTCTCCAGAGTGTGTTGCTTTGTCATTTGAGGTGATCTAAAGATTGTTTTGGGGTGCAGCCTGGCCCAGGTTTCTGCCTGTGTGGTTCTCCTGGGGACACTGCAATTTGGAGCAGCTGGCACAAGAACCATGCTTTGGACAAGGAAGCAGGACACAGCATATTTCCCCTCAAAGGGGAGAGTCTGCTGAACATGGGGGTGTATGAAGTGTGGGGGCCCAAACCTTATTTTGGGTGCAGAGGGCACTTCCTTATTCAAATCTCCTTTGAAATACAGGCCTCTGGGAGGCACTCCAAATAGAATCCCGTGGTGCCAGAACCCGTGTTTGGACCGAGCATCACTGTATGTCATCTTTAGGGGACAGTCTCCAGACTGTGGTGATGTGTCACTTGGGGTGGTCCAAATATTGTTTTGTGGGTGCAGCCTGGCCCCAGTGTCACCCTGTGTGATTGGCCTAGGGGCACTCCACTTTGGAGCAGCTGGCACAAGAACCATGCTTTGGACCAGAAAACAGCATATGTCCCCTTGAAGGGGAGAGTCCTGTGAACCTGGGGGCATATGATATGTGGTGGTCTAGACCTTATTTTGGAGTTCAGAGCTTTCAAACTCTCCTCAGTGTTTTGAATGAATTAATGAATAAGACGCAAATAAGGAATGAATAAGGAACTGGGAATAAGGAACCAACTTCGGCTCCCTCTGAGGAAGTCTGTTCCACTGAGGAACTACTCTAACTATTTGGAAGTTCTTCTAATGTTTAGTCACAAATTCTTCTGATTTAATTTCAACCCGTTGGTTCTGGTCTGATGTTCTGGGGCAACAGAAAACAATGCCATACCATCATCTATATGACAGCCTTTCAAGTACTTGAAGATGGCTATCATATCACCTCTCAGTTGTCTCCTCCCCAAGTTACATACCCAGCTCCTTCAACCTTTCCTCATAGGAGTTGGTCTCCAGACCCCTCACAGTCTTTGTTGTCATCCTCTGGACACGTTCCAGCTTGTCTATTGGAGGACTGGCCTCAACCAAAATCCATTTATTGTCAGATCCAGGGGCCTTTGCAAAGATAGAGGTCAAATGATGTTTCCAGGTCCTGGGAGCAATCCATGATGGAATCCTGGACACTGCAGAAAGGCGATTATTAACCATGTTCCAGATGGTCCATGACTCAGCTGATTATTTATATTACCATATTAATAGTCATTTTCAAAATCACAAAAATCCAGATTCTCCTAAAGCTTACAGTGACATGGGATTTTGCAGTAGGTTACATGTTAATAACTTATCCATGACCTTAACGTTACTAAATCAATCCCTCTTTAAGGACCTACACTCAGATTTCTAAACTTTGGTAAAACCCATAGTTTTCAAACATCCTCAGAGACCCAGAAGAGTGCTGGTGAAGGCAAGATATTTATGCTTCATAGTAGCTGCAGTGACTAATATGAAAGGAAGGGGGAATTCCCTGTCTCAAGCCCCAAAGGAAAGAGAAACACAGGTCCCTCAGAAAGAGATTGTCCTCCTGTTGTGTCCACTGACCGCCA